TCAAAAACACATACATTTGCATAAATGCTGCTTAGAAAATTCCTACGCATAATAGAAAAATAACATCTCTCATTTACCACGAGAAACAGTTTGTATTAACACCGTTTGATTGATCACATAAAAGTTCTCCTGACAAGATTGAACACTGAATTATTCTTGGCTCTCGATCAAGTACCAGTTAATTCGCTGCAACGGATGTTCTTGCGTATGCAAATTTCATGTAATCCTGTTCTTCAAATGTCGTCCGCAATATTCGTAATTTCTTCCATTTCATCTTCTACTTCTCGTATCTTGGCTCTCCAATTATTGATTTCTTCCGTGATAGAGTCGGATAACCTCTCCCATTTGGCGTGCTGCCTCTCAGCATCGTCGAGTCTGACGTTGGCCATTTTCAGTTGTTCTTCCAGGAACTGTATCTTCTCTTCAGTGACTTGTTCTCGTTCAGATGCGTCTTCGTCCGCTTGCTCGAGATCCTTAGTTTTTTCCGATATTCTTTCTAACGACGCTTCTAACATCTCGACTGCACGAAGACTTTTTTCTTCTCGCTCTTCCGCAGACTTCAGATCGCGCTCTATCACAACAAGGCGTCGCTTAGCTTCAATCAACGTGTGGTGCTTTTCTTCTCCTTCCTTTGCAGCTTCAGTGATAAGAGATTCCAGTTCCAAGATTTTCTCATCCCCTTCTTCTTCATTTTCCTCTAACTCTTTGCGGCACAACTCTTCTTTTTCTCCTTTTTGAGTGACCTGCTTTAGTTTCTCTTCCTGCTCATCCAAGCGCTTGTTAACCTTGTCCAAATCGGCCAGGAGTAGTCTTTTCCTTCGCTTAATTCCTTCGGCCTCTGTTGTGTATTTTTCTTCTTGCTCTTCGGCTTCTTTTAGCTGGGATTTTGCGTCAGCCTCCCTCTCTTCGGCCTTTTCTATGTCTTCTTTAAACTGGGTCAGTTTTTCTTTGAGCTTATTAAGAGACATGCTGGCGTTTGCTTCAGACGCCAGGAAGATGGACGAATAAAACAACTAAAACGAGCTGCCGCCTATCAAATGAGGTACGAAGGCGTTTGAGTCCCGTGATAGACGAGTAATAATCAACCAAGGTATTCATTGTTTAATCAACAACTGCAAAATGAAAGGACAATCACACTTCACTTGCATCACCCCTAAAGATTGGCTCATGTTATTTACCCAAGGGATCAACAAAACAATGAAAAGAGATAGCTATCAATCAAGCTCTTTGGCTGAGTAATTTATTCACAGATATCTGGCTAAAACAATTATTGAGCAAGCATCAAAATGTTACCACGAGAACAGCTAAAACTTAAAAGCTGATCTTGGCGCGGCTGAAAGTTGTTGATGATCACAGTCGAACTGAGTGCCGTGTCGCATCAGGCATCTTTCATAACACAACAAACTACGAGAAATTCCGGAATAACCAGAACCCTTTGTCGGAGATCGAATTTTGGTCTGCCGGGCGGAATTCAGCGGTTCTGTGCATGTTAATCTGAAAAATCTCGAATCCTTAAATTAAAGTGGTGGTGTCGGTACGAACAGTCCGCACGGCTATTAATTTCTGCTCTCCACTCACAGTTAACATAGATTGATTAGATTGACTTGATCATGTTTATTTGACCCCGTGTTATTAGCCATTGAAAGAGATGGCAATCTTTCAGGGGTTCGCTCGACTTCGGAAATAAAATAGTAGTAGTCTGTAGTAGGATTATTTTTCTAACTGAACAGGTTTCTAATGTTTCTACTTAAGTGGCGTTTCACGCAATTATCTTTTTATCTTTCAGGCATATAACGTAGGTAATGTAATTATTAACGAAATAATCAGTTAACCGTGACTAAGAGCCAATTAAACTGAGCCAAGGAATCGCAAAAGACGTACAGGATTAGGTTCGAAAGTCAGGATTAGGTTCGAAAGTCAAGATTATGGAGCGTGTATAGTCTATCCACAGAACCGTCTGTTTTTCTTCGAGTCAATTTTTCTTCGAAGGCGCGAGAGCGGAGAGCGAGTTGGAGTGAGTAGGCAAAACAATAATAATACTTTTGTCTTTCCCCTAGCCCCACCCCGTTGCGTTTTGGCTTGTTCATATCCCTCGCGGTTGATCGTTTGCTTGCGATCACAAGACAAAATAGGGGGTCTGTGGAAAGAAAAGAGTAGCTTTTGTTACCGTTTATACATTTTAGTTTGCCGCTGCGATGAAAACTGGGGTAGGGCGTGACAACGTGGTTAAGAATCAAGGGAGTGAATGCACCACCCACTCCAGAAGCTCATGGGCTCCTGCTCACCTCCATTACAACCTGTATGCGGTTGATATTCCGAATTTCAGTCGCACCTCCGGTTGCGACCACCTCTCGTAAGCGACCACCTCTCCCCAGCGACCAGTTTGCCAAACTACTAAAGGTTTCTAAGTCAAATCACTATATTTGAAACCTCTTGTAAGCGACCACCTCTCGTAAGCGACCGCGACCACTTTTAGAGTTAAAAGTTTGAAATTTTGTTTTGTTTTTAACCTTCCGTAAGCGACCACTTGAAAGATAATAGAGCGAAAATTGGATAATGAGGTGTTGTAAAATAGTCTTATTCCTGGGTTGTACAAGAGACGGAAACTTCTCAACCGGATTTTTTTCTCGAAATTGACTTTTCACATGAGTAAAACATTTAAAACATGGGGTAAGTCTGAATATGGTCTAAGCCCGCGAAAGCGACCACCTAGGTTTGACATTTTGGGTAGTCGCTTACGGGAGGTTCGACTGTATTAAAACAAAACATAGTAACTCATAAAATCAGCAGTGATGGAAATTCTGATCTTGACAAGTTCGCGCTTCAAAAAGGACAAAAGTGGTGAAGATTTGTTGAGCATGACAAATGAGGATTCCACCTGTCAATGTAAGTACATTTGTAACTGTCGACATCGGACGATCAGTAGCCACTAGTCGACCAAAATTTTCTTTTTCTTCTTTCTTTCTATTCATAGTGTGCAGTGCAAATGCACGGAAATTTCTACGTCTTCGGTTGCACTACGGGATTTGAGAAATAAACAACGCCTGCTGGCATTTTATCTTTAAAACAACAGGTACCCGAGTGGTACACGAGCTTCACGCTCAATTCACGCACCGCAACGCGAAAGGATTATGACGAGTAAGGGTAGCTTCCTACGAAGATACGAACGTCTACTGAAACAAATAGCTATTTACGTAGACCAATAATTACGTGCTACCAAATTCCGAAAGCTGCGGGAAGTCAACACTTTGGAACTTAATCGTATCAGTATCGCAAAAAACCAAAATACTGGCTTGGCCTTTCATAGTCATTTCATATCTTCAGCAGGACGCTATAGTGTATTTCGCAGAGAATAAGATGATATGTTCGTAAATCGTTCCACTGGGTTTGCAAAACTGGTTATTTATCAAGCGTTCCCGTTGATTTCGACGTGGCATATAACAGTTCGGGGCAGTGTTTATGTAGTCACCCCGAGGGAGCCTGTTCAATTTATTTGTTTACTCTCTTTGTTTCTGGCAATACCTGGAAAATAGCGATACTTAACATACTGTAATGAGCTAAGTGTATTAGACCACATTAATAAAGGTTACTTACTTACTTACTTTTAATTATGATTGGCCTTCATCACACGATAACCTGGCGCTGATTGGTCCTTTAATAATTTCCACGCGATTTCCAGATGATGTCCAGCTGATCTTTACGAACAAAAGGAAAGGAATTCAGCGCTTGTTTCAGCAGACAGACATTCGTTGCAGAGTGATGCATGACGAGCCAAGAGAATGCCTTCATAGTAGCCTAGTTTAAGACGGGGGATAGAAGGGGTTCTAAAGGGGGGGTTAAGCACCGAAGTGGCTAGGTAGGATTCTTAAATGGAGGGGGACAGATTGGCGAATGTGTAAGGTATAAGTTACTTTATCCCATTCGCTTCCATTGTTATGAAACATTTATTGAAAGCTGCCTGACGACTCTTGTGAGAAATCTTCCATTGAAAATTTCCAGACCAGTTAGGGAAACGAGATGTTAAAGGTTAGATTTCTCCAGGAGCCCCTGATTTCTCATTATAGTCCCCGTTTTTATGTTTCGGCGACTCGCTCGTAAATTCATGGTTCAATTCTGGGTGCTACTATCTAGCGGAAAATCCCCGGAACAAATCT